TGGAAATCCACACCGGCTGTGAAAGTGGAGGCAGATAACAGCAGGAGACAGGGCAGCAAAAGTCCCATCCTCGGTGCTGAGTGTTACAAAAAAAAAAAACCAACAACACAAAGAAAGGGGAGGAAAAAAAACACCCCAAAAAACGAGTCTTTGTTTATCCCGGTCTTGCCTTTAGAAACTGAAGGTCGCTACAGCTCTGCCGCGGATGACATCAACAGAACAGTAGTCCTGACAGCGACTATATTATCGGGCTTTAAAAACACGCAGCGCCCGCAAAGCTCCGGCTATGTTCCCCGCGCAGCTGCGGGAAAAAATATCAAATTAGGAAAACAACGCAATTATCTAAATTATCCGGAGTATCTGACAGCAGTTATTCGCGCTGCAACTCCGTAGCCAACATAATACACTGTAACGATCCGGCAAATGGTCGTAATTCTCGTTGCAGAGAGGAGCCACTGTGATTGGCTACTTCCTATCCACCTTGCGCTGTTCTGATTGGTTAAGAGGCTGGAAGGGGCGGATGTCAAATGCTAGATAGGTTGAGAGCCAGACAGAACTTAGTTTAAAGCTTAAAAATTGCATTTTTCGTCCACTATTTGCTGTAATGTGGGGGACACAATGACGTTACACACAATAGAAATATTAGAGGAGTTGTAGGAGTTGTAACTTAATGCTGCTTTATAATTACCTGGCTCAGCCCCATTATGTCAACACACCCAAAAGTAATAAGCATAATAAGTTAATGTAAAAAAGAACATTTTTGTCATGTTTGTGATTTGTTTGAAGTTTCCAATTTATTTTCTCAGAGTCTACGACGATAAAAACCCCTTTTTCTGCTTATGTTAACTTATTTTAATGTTTCCACTTTCCACAAACCAACAGATGCCCAACTATAATGGAACATAGCATATGTATAATGTAATATAAAGCATGTCTGATTCTATGACATGTGTCCTCATGTCTCTGAAATTAAATACAGTGATAACATGTGTAAGTGAAACTCATTCCTTCCACAGTTAACTTTGTCAGGGATTAAATACTGGATCTGTTGTGACGTTGGGAGGCTGAAACAAGAGATTAAATCACACTGAATATGAGGAATCTATCCACTGGTGAAACAATCTTATTTGAAATGCACCATTTATGCAAGTATACATTAACACTGTATGTATAAAACATGTCATATAATGAAATTTGTTTTAACAAATACAATTTGTTGTGACGAGTGGCACCTTTTTAATGGAAGAGGTTTTGGAAGAAACCCCTTATTACATAGACATTAACACAGTGTATTTAATACAGTATTTAATTTATTTTTCTACACTCCAGTCTCAGTTTAAAGTCCAAACAATTTTAAAATATGAGGGAGTGTGTTTATAATTGTGCTCGTCATGGTCAAGAAGAACATGAGCAAATAGGGAAACTAACCTCTCCATCATGTGATCTTAACTCCTGTAAATTAATAAGAGCGGTGTTTTTGTGTGACCTGCAACATTCTTAAATTATATGTATTAATTTTGTTGGTTGCAATGAGTGAAACTGTGCTCTTGATTAAATTTGTGCATGTGACGAGACAGTGGGCCATAACAAACTCATGACTACTGGTCATGTGTTGCAGGAAGAAAAATCCCTCTCTCATAGCTGCCATATTCTGACTGAACATATTCAAACTACAGGCTACAAAGTGTAATCCCAGTATAACAATATGTAGTTTTAGGTTTCGCTATGGTGTATTAGGTCATCTCTTTTGTAAACCCCCAGCTGAGAGGGATGAGATATTGGTGCCTAGTCATACCAGCGGGATGACTGAAACTCTAGAGGAGGGGAGGAACCTGTTCAGACTGTCACGCTTGGTATTTCATTATTCTCGTGTTTAGCCTTTGGTGTGGCACACCCTGTCTAACAAGTTTGCAAGCCTCCAAAACAAAAAAAAGTGTCATCTCACTGCAACCAAAAGTAAAACGCTGTTGGACTGGTTTCAATGATTTCAAAGAACCTGCAACCTTGAACTTCAATCCACAACTTAGCAATTTAAGCAGCCCTGTAGAATCAGGAATATTCTTTGTGTGTATTTAATCTTGCTTGCGTATTTCTTGATTCCCAGATTCATTCAGGAAGCCAAACAATCTGATCTGTAGAGCAGCATTCCTCCACAAAGGGACTGTACAATGGAGTTGCAGCCCCTCCCCCATAGCAGCCCAGTCAACTATTAAAAGGTGGAGAACAAAGCCACTCTTATTCCTTCGAGATGTACTCTGTTAGGATGAGAACTGTGCCTTTCAACGAAGACCTAGATTTGACTTTTTTGACTGCACAGTGTGTTGAAAGAAGGTAGGCAAATTAAGGGATGAAACCACGTGTACCTAAATTTCCCTGCTTGCCAAGCCTAAGAAACAGCATTTACATTGACCCAAACTGAAGGAAGTACATGGACAGCCTGAGTGTAAATGAGTTCAACCTCCACTGATGGGAGTCATGGGAAACACATGGCTTGCTTTGGATAAAAAGGGTTAGTTTAATAATACTCATGTAGTATCTGTGGAAATGGCGACCTCTAGTGAAAAGTAATTATCATTACTGTGCAGTCAGATGGACATTTTACACTCTGCAAACTCTAATTTCAAGCATTTGCATTTTGCAAAATGGTTGCACATCACCTTTTTTTGGAAGCAGTATTTTTGTTTCTTTTCAGTTGTAACCATCATCTTCTCTTGAGCAAATATACACAGTAGAACTTTAGCCATATTAACTTGGTAAGGCACCCTAAGGTAAAAAAATAAAAATTAAATGTAGACCCTCTTATCACATCTCCTGCCCTCTGTGCATTATGTATGTAGCCTGTTACCTCTAAGATCCATTCAGTGCCCACCCAGAAACCAACCGGTACTCATCATAAGTGTGAGCATAATATAAACTAAGGTCCCCACTACAAGATAAGGTGACAAGATTATAAAATAATACAGAACCCACTTAGTCTTCAGGGCACCTTATTGCAAAAAATAAAAATAAAACATTGAAAGAATGATGTTCAACTAACGGACAAACTGGGAACCTGGAGCTTTTGTGGCTCATGGCAATGCATCCTTGTAGTTCTTATTCAAATATCATGAATTTAAACATAAAACACACAAAATAATCGATTACGTGAGACGAACACACTGAATTAAAATAATCTTTACTGTGTGTTAGTAAGTATGTTGACATGTACAAGAATTTCACCCAAGTTCTCAGTAGCTCTCAATATACAGGACAACATGGAGATATACAAAGATATCAGGCTAAATAAATGTAAGCAAACACAAACAGCTGGTATATGGAGGCAAGAACTGTCCATATATGTACAGGTCAGATTATTACTGTTTATATACAGGGTTGTGGTAAGACTGGGTGATGGCAGAGCAAACATAGGAATAAATGGTTTATGGATAATAAACTTGCATATACAGAAGTGGGTTAGTGTGCATATTTTGAGATTATATGTAGAGCATGTGAACTATAATGTGAAAATGATGTGATAAGGCTGTCTTCAGTTCAGATATATATTATATGAGGAAAGTACTGTACATGTACTGTGTTAAATTAGTTCCACTTTGACTACAACATCAAATGCTGTGTAGCCTAAATATGAATACATTAGTAATAATAATGCAATACTAATTAAAATATATTTATTTCTTTATTTATTAATATATTCATGAATGTATACTCCGACAGAGGCCATTGTGCATAATGAGTACTTTAGATGCTGTTAATCAAACAACAGGGCTTTTATTTGGGTTTACATTATACTGCTGCTTTTTACAAAAGGATCTGAATACATTACATTATACTTTTAATACCTTAAACTATTAACCTGCATGTGCTGTACAGTCTACACTCAAACACAGTAGCCCTGAGCTGTATTTGAAACTCTCTCTCCCTCTTTCCTCTCTCTCCCTCTCTTTCAGTCCTCTCTCTCCCTCTCTCTCCCTCTCTTTCAGTCCTCTCTCTCTCTCTCTCTCTCTCCCTCTCTTTCAGTCCTCTCTCTCCCTCTCCTTTAGTCCTCTCTCTCTGTCCTCCCTCTCTCTCTCTCGCTCTCTCTCCTCTCTCTCCCTCTCCTTCAGTCCTCTCTCTCCCTCTCTTTCAG